CCTGTGGCCCTGAGCTGGGGATTGCTGGCGTGGGCAGTGCAAATACGGGGAGGTGCTGGCACAGCAGCTGCAGCGAGGTCGGGATCTTGCCTTCCAAAGCGCACAGGAAGAAGGGAAAGAAAGAAGATCACATAAATCACTGCTGTTGGGGGGGAACAGCTCCCTGAATTGGGTCGTGACAGCACAGCTGCTTTTCTTTAGTCTGTGGGGCAGTAGTGGTGATAAAGAACTAATAGAGATGGATGAAAATAATTAAGTGGTGTGAAAGAGAGGAGATGAGATGAAATGAAAATGAAATGAAATAGGAAATGAAGAGGAATGGCAGGTGGGAGGAAGAAATTACATATTCCCCTGAGCAATATTTTAGGTTATGGGTAGTTTGCTTCAAATCTAGGTGGACCTCTAGCCTTCCTTTCTAACTGAATCAAGAACAGTTGTCTGACAAAGACAGCAGATGAGAAATAATGGGAAGCAGGTCAGTAACCTGATGCTCAAACATGCGTATTGTTTCTGGGCATACCAATTTGACTGTATTGCCGCATGGTGGGAAAACAAAAATAATCTGACCAGGACTGTTGGGTGAAAAGATGTCATATGCAGGCCTGTCATGTGGGAAAGACCTCCGTACATTTCTGAGCTGTGCTCAGGAATTAAAGGTCCTTGACGGGCAACAGCAAAAGGTTTTATCAAAAGATCTGCCAAGTGTGTCCACAGATGAATATTTGTCAAAACTAGTGTGATTTTTTTTTCTTTTTTCTCATGACTTAGTTACTCCCTTGGCAGTGGTGCTCACATTTTTCAGTTGAGAACAAGTTATTCGTGCTCCTTGTTGGCTGGCTCAGGCACTTTCTGGTGTCAGGGAATGTGTGCTTTCTCTGCTCAAAGTCAACTTTTACCAGAAAATCATTCTATCAGATGGGCAATTCTGAGAAATCGTGACCTCCAAAAGAAGGACTGTTGGCTACATCTATTTCTCATACCATCAAGGTTAAGCACAGCCACTTCTGTGCCTTTTCTCATCTCTGCTCTGAAAGGCTCAAAGCAACTTATGCTCAGGAGCCATGAAACCAAACTAGGGCAGGGCTGTGTCCCTGTGGGAGCAGAAGACGTTGAGTAGGTCCAGTGGTGGTCTTCCATGCATCAGTGGTTTGCAACTCCCTGCTGAAGGGAGTGATTGTCCACACTTGACTGCAGGCACCCTAATGCTGCTCTCTGTGACCCAAGCTAAAAGCCAGGGTCTGCTGTCAGTGAAATTTCACTCATGTGAACTGTAGATGAACCATCTGCGATGATGACCTAAAACCCAGGAGTCCTCAGTTCTGCCACTGGCTCTGCTGAAGTTTTTTAGCATAACCTTGGACAGGTCTCAAATCTTATGAGTCTTTGTTTCCTACCTGCAAAGCAGAGGATTCAGTTTCTTTTCCTCAGAGCAGCATAGTTTTATAAAGTATAAATAGTTGTGAAGTTAAGTGTTTTGACTGCGTGAGCATTTCAGAGAAGGAACCATAAATATGTGTCAGGCCTATGATCTGAATTCAAACCGGTGAACTAGAAAAAGTGTTGACAGCCTTAAACCAACCAGCCTGTACAGACATCTCCTTCTGTCTACCTGAGAGATTATTTGTGGAATGTATTGCTATTTTTCTCTGACAAAAAATAGAATACCAAGCAAAGAAGCATGACCCATTTCTTTGTCAGGCAAGCTCTAAACCCTGCTTACTGGGATGTGGCTGAGGTATTGATAAAAGAGAAGCTCATTTTAGGCCACAATATTCCTGCCACTGAAGAAGAAACAAAGACTACCACCTTCAGACGAAGTGGATGTGCTTTCCAAGACAAGGTATGTTTCTCTCTACAACTTCTTTATCATCTGTAGTGAAACAGAAAAGTGGCAAATGAGGAGAATTAGGAGCATAACTAATCATTTTATAAAAGGAAAATATACAACCATTACACAACTGAAAGTACCTGCAATCCCTGTTAATGGTGGATCAATAGGTCTGATAAAAACGTCACTCATCACAAACTGTATCACCTTCAGTAATTTTTCATGGGCCTTTCTCTGTGTAATGCCAGGTTTGGGTGCACATCATGCTCTTCATAGTTGTTGGCCATAACAGTGGACTTTCCCCGTGGGTCTGTTTTCTTCAACTATAGCATGTAGCACATCCAAAGCAATATCAAGTCATACCACACTGAGCTTTTTATTACCAGAGATTTTTGGACAGAAGCACATAATCTAGATTTTCTGAATCAATAGGCAGATGGTAGCTACTTTTTTCTTTTTTTTTTTCAGTTTTTTTTCCAACTTTTACATTTCAGATTTACATAGCTTGGTTTCACACACCTGAAGAAGAAACACTGACATAAATCTAAGTTTATCTTCGATGCATTTACAAATATTTTTCTTTTTTTCCCTGACATGTGTCTGTCTAGACTTCTGCCAGAAAGCAGGAACTTTAACTTTCTCTTCTGTTGATGTAAATACCTTTTAACATTGTGCAGACAATGGCACGACTCTCACTTTCTCATGAGGATGTGGGACCCATTCAGTCCACCACTGAAACACACTGGGGTTCCGTTGGCCAAGGTAAGCAGCTCTGACATCTTCCCACTACACACTGTGTTACTGTGCGTATCACTGAAATACACCATCATTGTGATTCCAGGCTGGTTGAATTTTTTTATTATTGTTTTCAATTTGGTTCACTGAAACAATGAAGGTTAGCTGCATCTAGCTCTTAATTTGACTTCACGTTTTATTAGTCATTATTTTTGCAAAGGCCTTAATTCCCCTTTAAAACATTTTAATTAAAACAGCAATTCTCAGTGCTGCACTTCGTGAGCAGATTTTTGCAGCAACTTCAAAGAGACGCAGATGTTTACTGAATTTGGTGTGGTGGTATTTGAGGCTGCCTACTGGCAAAGAAAGAACTCATAAACATCTAAGAAACTTTGCTGTGGTAATGACAACATTTCCTTCTTATATTTTAGCAAGTCTAATATTTCCCAAGCTCAACAGGCATGTTCCATAGACACAGGCATAAGCGTTGTCTGCTCGCAGTCCGAGCCATGTCAGATGCACTGCTATGGGGTAACGACCTCTCAACGGTGATATCTCGGGCTTTGGCAAAGGGGTTCGTTTGCTGCATGCGGACCATCTTACAGAGTATCAGTAGACTGGGAATGAGGAAACCGAAGTTCAATTTCTGCTCCATTTTCCATAGACCTCCAATGCGATTTTGAGTGGCCGTTTAGCTTTATGCGCCTCAGTTCCCACTGTTAAAGGGATGATAACATATCCTGGCTTTTAATCAACTTATCTCCTGGTTGCTGGGCTTATCTTTTAGTGCACCAGGACTTCCTAGCCCTAGAGGGAGCTGGGGTTTTTTAAAGTGCTGTTCTAGCAACATTGAGAAATACTGAGGATTTCTTTTGGAGGATTTTCTCCTTACTTGCGGCAGGTGAGCCTAGAGCTGGTCTGATGGTCTCATTTTGGGACCACACCTACCTGTAGGTAACCAGGCAGGCAGTGGTCCTCTCCAAATTTAGATGATGGGACTAGGGACACATGGGCATGGCAGACCATATCTAAAACATAGTCTAGGGTATCTTCTGTGGTTTAGGCCGGCGGCTGTGGGCAGAAAATACATGGCCTGTCCAGCTGGGCCACCAATGAGGCTGGTCTCCATCTTCAGGACCTACAACTGGTGGTGAGGCTCATGCTCCTATTTAGTCTTTCTGTGCACAGAAGAAAAACAAGTTTCTTGCTTGGACACTTTTCACTCTTGTGTCTTTTTTGAAGGGGAAATAATAAAAGTACTTGGAAACAGCATCTCCCTTTCCACTGTGAGCATCAGGCAAGGACCAGCAGGGAAAGCCTGCATCGAGTATGGCGTGACACGTCATGTAGCTGCTTTAATACACAGCGTAATTACAGTGACAAATTTCTGCCTCTTGAAGCATCAGGGATTGAAGCGGTTGCCCTGAAGGAGAAAGAAGGTTAGTGGGAGAATTTTGACCAATTCTAGGTTGGGAAGTGCAGCACTTCCCCTGCATTGCATTAAAAGTGATAAGCATGGCCAAAGGGGTCCTGCGAGAGACAGGTAAGCAGGCCGAAAGCAAATTGGAAATATTAAAGAAATGAAGCTGGACTGGATAGAACAAGTTTTACAATTCCCTATTCCTCTTTGATTTGGTAGCATGAGGCGTACTGGAGGGTAGATTGCACAGACCTATGCGTGACAGCAAGATACTTTTCCACACGAATAAACCCCCTGAAATTAATTGGACTGCTCACAAAAGGGCCTGGGAATGTGAACTAGCCTTGCAGATTTCAGCCCTCAGATCTGATCTTTCTTCAGCAACGTGAGGACCAGGCTGCATGGTGAACAGCAACAGCTTAGCTGGAAGTGTGAATTCAAACCACTCGCAGTGAGTAGATCGGTGTCTCTGTGGATGCATCCTTGCTGAAGAGCATCTCGGCTCAGCCGAATTCACCTTAGTAAGAAACAGATTAAAATTAAACTGAAAGAAACTACTCCTGAAATGAAAGCAGCGCTCAGACACCGTTTGCTTACCACAAACTGCTGTGCCTTTGCTGTGCCATGGAATTGCCCACCCGTACGCTTTTAGCTGGTGGCAAATGCTCTCGGTGAGAACTAGCCTGGCCTGCAAAGAGAGAAGCTTAAATTTGGGTTGTTCTCCCGCGTGTGCTGTGGGATAAGAGCACACAGCCAGGCAGTCCTTGCGTGCGGGGGAGCCTGAGCATTCCAGCTGTCCACAGAGGCACTCGCTTCAGCTGAAATACTTGTTCCCCAATTACAAATGGGCTCATAAAACACCAAACCGCATGTAAAAGCCCTCTCGCGTGTTGGTCTGGAAAGAAATAGCTTTGCCGTTGTTTCAAAGAATTAGCGAGCCAACAACGCAAAGCTTTGGAGTTGGTTACTGGGTTTTTACTGTAGTCTCTACAAGCTATACAAAGTCTGAAGACATTGTACGTACAGTACATCTTTAATAAGAAGGGAGCTCACAGTCTACCAAACTCTGCCAAATAAACTTTTAATACATACTGTACTTCACTCAGCAGTTGTCCATCTCTTCTTCATGGAATATCTAACAGCTCTAAAAATATTTTCTTGGAAGAGGATAGAATTATCATTGTTATATATCAATCAAGTATGGTTAATGAAGCAAAGCCAGCATGCTAATATTGCACAAGGGGAAAAGCCTCCAGAACACAAGTAGAACAACAAATGCCCTCGAAATTCTGCCGAAGGGAACAGGAAGCTCTGGATGCCGCATCGGTAGGATTCGTGTAGCTCTTAGGCGTCCTTGTACCGCAGCAGGTTTGCTTTGCCTCTTCACTGCCACATTTCTCTCTGAAATAGGTAGGGATCTTCCAGACCATTACAAAAAAGAAAAAAAAAGAATTTACAGCAGCTGCAGCAAAGTGTGGTACTATTCGATTTCTTGAAGAGTGAGGCTTTTATTTCAAAATATCATGTATTAATATATATATATTTCTATATATATACTTTAACTGGTATAAAGTAAATTGTAGATCCAAACTTATACTGTTGTTTGTACTTCACAATCTCGGAAACTTTACCAAAGGAACCATTTTCTTCATTTTTATTTTCAGCTGTCAAAAATCAGGGGCATTATTTCCACTGAATACTTTCTTTCACACAGTAAAGCCACTGTTGTTATCTGGTAAACAGTCAAAGTGCAAATAAGAAATCCATTTGGCTTGTAAATGCTGAGATGGTTTTAAACTTTCAATACTTTGTCCTCATAAATCAGCAGGGCTTTCACTGTCTCCATGCAGATGGCACTCTGTTAGGTCCTCGGGTGGATCTGCAGTAAGAAAGTATGAAAGAGTCCGTTATATAAAACGTGCTAGGAGAGAAAAGAAAGACCTAGGTTTTGCAGCACTTTGTTCTGCCTATGATATAGCTGAATTCAAATTGCAGTATTTTGGGGGGGTTCTTTTCTCTTGGGGCTGCAGGGATTTAAGGATGTGCTCAGCGCAGACCCTGAGTAAGCTCCTGCCTGTACACTGGGAGACGTTCGATGTGCATCCACCACCCGGGCTGGTGGCGCAGGAGATGGCAGGACAGCTTTGGGCACGGGCCATGCTCACCCCAGCCTTCCACCCTCCCCTTCATCAGAGTGATGCCAGTAGCTTCTGCTAGACAAGGACATGCAGAGGAACCCATCTTTCAGGTTCATTTGGACCTCTACCAACCCACTTACCCAAAGAGGGGCAGGAGAGTGTCTAGCTATATAGCAAACTGGGAAGTTTGACCAACTTCATCTACTCACCCCGGTTGAGATAACGCGGCCTGCGACAGACCGTAAAACCATTGCTCATTATGACTAACACCACAATTGATCTGAGTGAGTGCACTAATGGCTTGAAGAGGAAACACCACCGCCCAGAGGTTTTTTTTTTTTTTAGAATGCTGAAATAAGAATGACTGACCAGAAGCAAAAATAGCTCTCTCGAGGTAAGGCTCTTGTCTCTTTCCCACATTGATACACACAGATGAATGGCACAAGGGGTCCAGCCCTTTCCTAGACGACTAGATCAGCAATGAAACTCAAATGGACTTGAATATGAGCAGGCTCAGGCATTCAATCAGGGCTACAAATTATTAGCTAAGCACTAGGTGATATGATGAAATGCAGCAGTAAATCTTATAGCAAGAGATATTTACTATCTCGTGCTCTACTGCTTTGAACTGACCTCTTAATTGTAGAGACTGTAATCACAAAAATAGAGGGATTTCTTCACTGCTGTAAAGAAAAACTTAATCTGGAAAACATCTGACATATTAACCTAGTTGGACAGCTTACAAAAAGAAACTAAAACTCTGGATTCGTTTACCATTTCCTTCCTTCCCCCAGTTTCCATCTTCTGCTCTCCTGGTTTGCCACTGACAAGTGACCCTGCTGGGTTTTCTCTCTCGGGATGAATACATCCCTTTCTTGTTTGTACACTGCCTTAAGAGTTTGTGTGGTTGGTGCAGGAGCAGGGAATGACAAGGGACCACGGTGCCAACTCTTGCTGCAGCAAGAGTTGAGCGGTGGCTGCTAAGAAATGCGATGCTCAGGTCCCTCGGGGAACCATAAAATGGCCCGCATTTCTCTGATGGCAAAATGTGGGGTAAATGAAGTGTTACTCTGGAAACTGGGGGAAGGGTGGGCAGTCAGGGAGGGCGCAGGCTGTGAAGCGGGAGAGGTGCTCCAAGCTGAGCTGCTCTGCCAGTCCCCAAGTGCTCAACGCTTTAATGTCCATCCCCCACAGCATCATCAGAAAAACAGCTTGTTGAAGTATTCAGAGGGCTAGTCCGTGAATGCCAGGTGTTATTAGTGTGGATTACATAAAAAGGGTGTTCTGCAGTGCAGCGCGTGCGTGGGAGCCCAGGCAGAGAGCCCTGGGGGGGAGTGCTGCGCTGCTCGAGGGCCCTGCAAAGAACTGCACAGAAAGTCCTGTGTAGGCACCAATCCAATCTCAAGGGCCTGTGAGTGACTCCCTCACTCAGATGGGAACTCATGAAACATGGGATGCACGAAGAGCCGTGTTTTTGTGTTTTTTCAGCAGCTCTGGCTCTTACAGGCATTTATGTGCCCTTGTGGGCACTGTCTCCCAGCATCCAGGCTGAGACCGTGCTCTGGCATTTCCCCTGGTGCCACTTGCTCTGCTGAAATGTAGTGATGTGATCTCCAGCCAGGTCCTAGTACAGCTCCCAGAGCCCCACATTGTTAAGGAAAGCATTGAAACTTTGTTCTTAAAAAAAAAAAAAAGAAAAAAAAAAGAAAAAAAAAGAGGAGTGAATAGGGATTAAAAAAACTGTTGAAACTGCTCCAAAAATTGAATTACAAAATGATTTCTTTCCAGTGTTTGTCACCTGCTTTGACCATCAATAGAAAACAAATCGATTTACAGAGGCCGTGAGCTTTATATCTTTGGCTTTACCAACTTAATTAGTGAGCTATGCTAAAGGACTAAACATGGGAATAAATGCACGAAAAGGAAGGGAGGATGTGCTGGCAAAGACTTCACTGGATCTGTTGTCCACTTTCTTCTGACACTAATCAGTATTAATCACATCTGAGAACCAACCATGAAGTAATACACTACACTGTAAAATTACATATATTGTGTACACCCATGTATTCATATATATACATATACTTATATATGTTCATATACTTATATGTGATTTACTGTGGGCCTTGAAGAATACACTAATAGGTATTTCAACCCCGCGAGTCCTAAATGTGAATATTTTCCTTGTCAGGACAGCAGCTGCCTAACATAAATGTGTTTAGTGTAAGGAAAAGTCTTCATTAAAACAGTTTATAGTTTACAGCCTATGGTGACTTGCTCTAGCTTTTTGGCTAATCACCACAGATATATCTAGGATGTTGACTGATTTGTCTTGTTCCTTCCGCTTTCTTAACTTCCTTAACTACATAAATTAGACACACATGGCCCAATCTTGCAGCCTGGACTGGGGTCAGTACAGATTATAGTGTAATCTCTTTCTCTGATGCCATCTGAAATGACAAAACAAAGAAAAAAATGCCTGTTTCAGGATTGCTTCTATTATTTTATATTTATGTTGCTAGACTTGATGCAGCAGTACGGATTCAAGCAAAGTTTCAGGGATTATGAAGTAGAATTTTTGCTTAGAAAATGCAAGAGACAGTTGCTAAGCACATCGTGTCATGTTGCCTTTGTCAATTGGGTTCTATAATGATATTTTACAGCAACAAAGCAAAATTCTACTGGAAGCAGCACCATAAGGTACTCCCCTCTCAAGCTAATTAAAATAACTCCTGTGGGTAAATGAAGAAATATTTTTTCAGTTATGAGCACTCACTCTGTAAGTATTTAATTTAAATGAAATACAATAATGCATACTGAATAGATAGGACCATACATCTGCATATTAATGAAGCTGCTAAATTTCTAGCAATCACTTCTAAGATGCAGGCTATCGCCTAAAACTAGTTTATATGATGAGGGTTGGGGGAGTTAAGAGCAGGACAATTTTGCAGAAAAAAGCAAACGCAATTCCTAAATTATATAATTTGCAGACAGACTGCAGAAGTACTGAATTATTGTAATTTAACAAAAGTATAACATTCTTTTTCATGTTGCTTATTGCTTCTTTAATATCGCTTTCAGTGAGAAAAACGTTGCTTCACTGAAAACGACATGTAGCAGGTTTGGTCTTTCATTTTTTTTTAATTGCACTGCAAGGCACATACAGAAGGGCACAATCTTCCAGTGGTGTTTCAGTTGTGAGCATAGAGTGGTTTGCAGCAACAACAACACTCCAGGAAGAAATTGTGCCAAGGAATCACAGTTCCCTCCGTGCTTTCTCCTTTGCTCTGGGAGGTGGCAAAGAGGTAATATGCGTCCTGTTTTCAGGGGCCACTTACTGCCTTTCACAAAGAAAACCTCCTACGTTAGTGTGTATCCTAGGAATTTAATGCAGTGGTGAGATTAGCCGTGCCGGAAGGCACCATTCAAGAAAATAGAGATGCGATACAACCATCCTTGGGTAGGTCATATGGATGGAAAGAAAAGAATTCAGAAGGCACAGGGATCAGTTGGGGTAAAATCCCCTCCTTCAACGAAAGGCCTAGAAGACATGAAAAATGACTAGATTTAGGATTGTAGAAAAAGGAAGAAGTCAGGAAATCATGACACTAAGCTTCATGTCCCTGTGACTTAGTAGCTGGGTATGACTATGTAGAGCTTCTTAGTAAACACAGAAAAAATTCTTGAAAATTTGCTTTTTTTTTTTTTTCATTTAGCAGGTTTCAAAAGTTATATTCCAATTTAATGAAAAACAAAATGTATTCATTTATAAAAAGTATCTTGACTTGACAACCATGTAATTTTCTTGGAAAAATATTCAATTGTGGTATGAAAATGATTTAATTAAAATTGTTGAAGAGAGGTATAGGTGGCAGTTTTAAGAAAATGGTTGTGAAACAATTGCACAATGCAAAAGAAAAGCTAGAATCTATTTTTGGAAAACACTTTTTCTCCAAAGGTAATCTCATAGTAGGAGAAGTTTAGCCAGCTCATTCCCGCTCACTCTCTTTGCAGCCATACCTCTGCATTTTCCCTGCAATGCATGGTGAAAACTGTCACTGCCTGTTGGCCTGTGTAACCCAAATCTTCAGCATCTGAAGACTGTGTTACTCCTGAGTGCCCGGGGCTAAAGTTGCTCTGAAGTAACACCTGAAATGCTGAAACCCAGCACTGTTTCAAGCTATGAAGTACAGCTGCTAATACAGATGTGGCCTGGAACAGCCAAGGAATGGACATCGGATCCACCAGATCCCTTCCATCTAATGTTCTTCCCTTTAGCCACCACAAAGGGACCCAGTGATGTGCACTAGCTTTTTTTCTGAGGTGACAGTGTCTTTGAGAAAGAGACCTGGCGATTCAGCAGCTCCAAGCCACTGCTTACCAAGCCTGGATTCAGCTGACCAGCCTGAATCCATGTGAGTTTTCACTAAATTTCTCCCAACCAGAACCATTGGGCGGCTGAGGAGGTATGCAGTGATCTTTAAGACTTTTACAGCAGACATGATGATGGAAAAGATATGTGTGAGCAATTATTAGTGAGTCCCTTTCCTACTAAGACCTCCTAGATATAGACAGAAAGACAACTTACTCTGGTGGTCTTGATTTTATTGCCAGTCGCACACATCCATCCAGAATTATCAGGCAATGTCTTACATTCCTCTCCTTCTAGGCAGGGCTCCATCTCACACCACCATTTCCCAATCACTATTGAAGCTAAAAGAGAAAAGACAATGTTCACAACTATGTTATAATGAAAAATCTAATTAAATAATATCTCAAGGGTCTAACACTGCCTTTAAGAGGCAGAGTGTCCCTTTCTAAACCCTTCAATTGAAAAGTAGTTGCAAGGATTTCATATTTAATTACTTGTTTTGCATCCTGCATTCTCTAAGACAGTGCACTGCTTGCCAGAGCTTCTTTATACATGAGATCTAGTCTACTCTCATGCTGTGACTGCGGGGAATGCTGTGATGGAATGACGGAATGCTGCTTCAGACCAAAGGACCATCCACCCTAACAGCCTGTCTCTGCGAGTGGCCAATCTTATGGTCGTGGACATATACAAGAACAAGGCAAGTCAAAGAGATTTTCCCCAGAATATTCTCCAGGTCTTCAGGACTCGTGGCTTGGGGTACGCCAGAATAAATGGTGTCTGCTTTGCTTTCAGTACCTACAGCTGCCTTTTTCTTCCACAAATCTGTGCAGCATTTTTTGAACCCATGTACTCTTTTAGCTTTCACAGTACCCCATGGAGCATCACAATGAGAAATAGCAGGTAAGGTAATACTGAACAGCAGCACAAGTTCAGTTTGTTGAAACATGATTATGAATTTTATAGAAACCATATTATCTCTAGCAGTAACTTCTAATTTCCAAATATTTAACGTTGTAAATAATGACAGTGTTTGAATCTTGTTGTTTGAATTTAATTGGCACATATGTTTACAACCTTGAGTGTACCTTAATGAAGTTTCTTGCCTGGGAATTGGTATCTGTCTATAACCTTAACTGTATCTTAATGACATTTTTTGTCTAGGGATTTTGATAAAGTTTAGCTAACCTTGCAAACTGTGACTAGTTGGTGCATGAGTGGCTCGCTCTGTGGTTTGTTTTCCCTGGCAAGAATTAATTTCATGGTTGCACTCATGAAGCCTAACTGTCAAAGCTTCTCACACTCTGGCTCCAAGGGAGACGCTTAACCCTTTTGTATCTCCCCACGTAGCTGCTTCAAGCCCACAAAATACCTTTGAAGCAACAGACTACCTTTCCATCACACCATTCAGCTCTGGAAAATGCCCTGTTGCACGTGCAACATTTCAGAGTTTATAATTAAAGTCTTGATTTATTTTTTATCTAGATGTAATCTGTTTATGTTCACAAAGTCCTGAGGAAACACCCAGAGATGTGTCTGCAGTTGCTACTACCGTCCATTCCCTTAATTCACAGATACACAGATGAAGCTACATGTCCCTTTTTCTCTAATCTCTAACATATGACGAACCCACAGTGAAAAATAAATGCACCAAACCCACAGACACTCCTAGACTAAAAAGTGTGTATCATTAGTCCATTTCATCATGCAAGAGGAGGTTCTGTGTGACACATAGGACAGGAGAATCTAGAAGAAAGATACCAAACAAGGCACAAAAGAGGGACTCCAGCACTTTCAGTAACACTTGAACTGCACTCTTGTTTTCAGGTTAGGAGAGGTGGCCACTAAGTGGCCACAGCTTTAAAGTTACGTATCATCAGTATTACCTACACAGAATTTTACCCATCACATTATCTTACCGCACCTGCTGTTATCCCACCTAAGCAGCTGACTTTATTGCTCCAATCCTAATTTACTGGGAGTGGTTCCCCCTTTGATCTTAGTTCTGAAAGGAAACTTAACTTTTCATAGGCCTGTCCCAATTTAGCATTTTGTTTTCCATTGTGGTCCATGAAAAAGGCACCACTGCTAGCAGGGTCAACCCTCAGCTGCTTTATCTGGCAGTCTCACATAATTCCCTCTCCTTAACGGTCCCCTGACTTTCTGATCCATCTTCTTTTGCTGCAGACTAACAAACAGCACACAGATGCAGGCATGTAGGTGTGTAATACTGTAAATGTATATGTACAAATGGGAGACTTACGTATACATGCTTACACCCAAACTAAGCCAAATATCGTATTATATAGGTAAGAATGTAACAGAGAGAAATTATTTAGATGGGTTAAATGAACACAAAGATATGTCCTGGGTCCAGACAGGAAGCTATTCTTTACGTATAGCTGATAGTAAACTGGGAAATATAAATGGTAAATATAGAGTATTCATCAGATTTCACTTTTGTTTCCTTTAAAGTGCAATTAAGATGTCCTTCGGAAACGTGAGATCTTTGTTCCTCCGATAAGCCGGACAAACTAGCCTCTGCCGCTTGTTGAGGTACATGGTTGATCTGAACGGCATTGGGTCAAGATACTTGGCTAGCCATGCTGGAGAGCATCCACGTATAGCCCATCTTAGTGAAAAATAAACCAGAATGACAAGCAATATCTCTCGGCCAGCTAATTAATTCTAATGGGAAGCTACTGCAATTCAGGAATCCAGGTGAGTATCTCTAAAATAGGCCTTTCCTCGGTATGTGATTATACCAGTAGACATGCTGAATAACTGTCCCAACAGGAACACAGTTTTCATCCCCTGAGTTTACCTGAAACACAGGGAGAAACACCGTGGGTTTGAAAGCTCTTTTGGTCTGGAAGAAGAGTAGACTAAGTTGGAGCAAGTAAGCTAAGCTTAGAATAGAAAGAATAGAAAAGAATAGAATAGAATAGTTCAGTTGGAAGGGATCTACAACGATCATCTAGCTCTCTGTGTTGTCTTTCCTATTTCTTCTCACAGCTTATACCTCATTTTTATCATGTAATATATAATTTCTCAGAATGTACAAACCCACAAAAACCCCTTTACACCTGTGCTTGGAGGCAGTTTAGTGATGCTACTCACACACCATTTTCAGAAGGGTATCATTAATGCTGCTAACAGTGGAGAAAAGAAATATCTCTCTTTGCTATGCATGAAAAGGCATATGAGGGCTGAATCTGTGCTCTAATAATAGATTGTGCAGCGGGCAAACTGAAAAACCATATCCTGCTAAATACTGGCCTTCACAGCAATCATCAGAACAGAGCATCCTCAGAATACGTGAGGAGAATCCTGTGATATGGAATCAAAAGCGATGATCATAATTATTTACTAGTAGAAGTGCTGTAGCATTAAATTACCATGGAGAAGGATCCTGTGGTGCTAGGTACTAAAACCCACAAAACTGAACGCCCTGGTCTAGGGAGTTGACAATGTAAAAGAGAGATATGAGATGAATACAGACTGAGAGGTAGCACGGAGAAGCAATACTGCTCTTAGCAATTAAAATGATTTAGCTACTTACTGATGCTGTTAAATACAGCCCGAGTATTTGGGCATTGACCTTGAAAAATAATCAAACGCGAAGTTGGTGCTGAACCCTAATGCCAACTGATTCCTCTAATACTGTGCAGATTTTAGTGTATGTATATATTTATATAAAATTTGTGACCAACGTGCAGTTACAATCACAAGGTAGCCCACCCACAGGTCCACCAGTGAGCACCCTCACCTGTCCCTACCCAGTATAACTGGGCTGGAGACAAGGTTCCTCTTATAAAGGGCAATTAAGGCCATTTGCAGATTAAAAGCTCCTATTTGTCTCTAGTATGTAAGTGGGCAAATTCCTTTGTAAGTCTGAAGCACTACAAAGCTCGCTGCGGTATAGTCCTCGGCACCACGCTGTGGCAGGGGCGTCCAGAGCCCATGAAAATTATTTCCTTTGAGTCTTGTGTTTATAGGTTTTCTCTTCTATTAAGATTAAGCCTTTTAATCTTTAGGACCAGTTGTCCTTCTTGGGCTCTGCTGATCCTTTGAGGTCTACTTGATTTCAAAGTTTTACACCTCCAGCTCTGTTCAAAGAGGCAGGAAAAAGCTTTAAAATGAATCACAGTTTGCTGCGTTTGAGATTAGGTACACCTGTATGGGGACGGGGGGGCTGGAAAAAGCTTCCCTGGGGAATACAATTCAGCTTCTCTACATTTAGGTTATGTCGCTCCGAGATGTGCTGAAGCAGTTGTGTGAGAGAGAGAATTGTTCAAGTTAAGATGCTTTCCCTCAGGGCGGTTTGCATTCAAGATCTCCCAGATCCCGTGGAACCTGAGCTTCCCGGTGACCCAAACTGCTAATTCTGGATGAGAATTACAGACTCCCGTTAGTCACCAGGCATCACAGGCTGTGAGTGCTCACATCATGCTGAATTAGATGCCTGTAACGTTTTGGAGTGGTTTTCATTGTGTTCGTCTCACTGTCTAGGGAATATATGAAGCATGGAGTTTTTTCACGCAAGGCTGATTTGGCTGAGACAGATACCCTCCGCCATGGGGAAAGAGAAAGGATATGATATAAAAGAGGCTTTCCTACTCCTGCTTTGTTTGTATTTTGTTTTGGGTTTCTTTGTTCCCCAGCTCCTGCTAGTGTAAATAAGGGATCGCTTATATCTGAGTTCTTTTCAAGAAAATGCCTCTTTATTAAACTCTAAGCGTGTAAATAATGGAGCTGGGGAGAAAAGCAACTTTCTTCAGAAAATTCTTGAGATTCTTTTTTCCAGTCCAATTCACACTGGTTTTTGGGTTTTTGTTTTTTTTGGTTTTTTTTGTTTTAATCTTTGTTTGCAAAGCTATAGAAAAATTTTGACCAAAATATTTAATTTTTGATGTATAGATAAACAGACAGAAAGGCATTTGGTTGAAATGCATTTGCTAATCATGTACCAAACAGAGAAATAAACTGCAGAGAAGATATCTGGTGATGAGATTAAAAAAATGTTTACATAATTCTATTGCATTTTAAAATGAATTTGTTCCCAAACATAATGCCCAGAGCCTTAGGTGGCTGCAGGGAACTTCCAGCTTAGACTGAACTCAGTGGGCTTCAGCCTGTAAAGTTCATGAGAACCTTTGTAGGTTGCATAAGGGTAGTGACCGTGTTTTGTGCATCATCTGGAGCACAAAGCTTTGGTGTGTGAAGAGAGCTGACTGGGGACATTTTCCCCTTGAATTTCAGTAACAAATTATTCTATTATGGGACCACAGTAAAAATTCAGTGAGCACCTTCAAATACCTACATCTAAACTGAGATCAAA